TTTAGAATGGAAAATTGCTTATCATTTTCTTCAGCTAATGCTAGTAATATGATTGGAAAGTTTAAAGGTGTAGCATCATTTATCAAAATGCATCAACCAAGTATAATCACCCGAGGTTGGCCGTGCCACCTCTTGCATATAGCTGCAAAAAAAGCTACTGAAAAATTAATTGGCTCAGAAATTGAAATGTTGATTAATAGATATATATTTTTATCTTGGAGAAAAGTTCGAAACGGAAGCATAGCTTCAAAGTTGCTCAACAAATTTTGGGACAGAATGCAAAATCTCATAAAATTTTGAAATATTGCAGTACGAGATGGTTGTCTCTTGTTAGAATCTTATAACAAGGATTTTGGAACAGTTGGGATGCTGTGATAAATTTTTTGGAGGGATCAACCAGATAACAGTGAGAATGAAGGAAAGAGATTGCAAAACATTAAAAAAAAATTTACAGTCATCCGACCACCAAACCATTGTACTTGTTATTTTTGAAAAATACTTTGCATCTTTGTTTATAACAGTAAATATTAATTTGCAACAACAAGCTCCTTATATACATAAATTGAGAAGAGAACTTTTTGAACTTTTAATGAATTTATTTTGTTAGATTCGTAAAACCATCAGTAATTTCTAAAGGAAAATGAAGAATGTTACTCTAACGTCTATTCCATTTCAGAAGTATAGTAAACAAAAAGAAAATGAAAATTTAGTGATTGGTGCGGAAAACAAGACTATATATTTAAGAAAATGCCAAGTTGAAATGAAAGTGAAGTGAAATCATTTTTCAATTCTGTGCGAGCTTTTTTTTGTAACTGCATGTTCATAGATATAATTGATAAATTTCCACTGAAGTGAATCCATTTCTAAAACATGCTGAAGTTGCTGACATCAACTTGAGAACTGAAGTCTCATTTTCATCTGTTCTTTACTTGATGAAATACTTTTTCCATCCATTATTGATGAAAAATATCTTAATCAAGTGTAGAAATTGAATTTTCCATGTATCAAGTAGATGATTTGAAAGAAATTGTAGATTTGCGTATTGATATAGCATGGGGAGAAATTGCCAAATTAAAAAATATGAATGGGTGTATTAAATACAAAGTATTGCCTTCTGTAATGCTTGCTGTCTTAATAATACCTCATTCAAATGCAGCTTGCGAAAGAATTTTTTCTATTGTTAAAAAAAATCAGACGGAATTTCAACCAAATTTAGGTCTTAAAACTCTTGAAGCAGTTTTGATTGAAAAAAAAAATATGCAGGCAAATGAAGAACTGTGTTATAAGAAAACATTCTCAAAATCAGAACTTAAGCTTGCTAAGCATGCTACATATAAATCTTTGCATTCATAAATTATGCATATTTTGTTTAATACTTATATGTATCATTCTTGGTTATTTAAATTTTATTTCCCTGTAGAAATCATATCCAGAATAAAGATATAATTTATAGCTTCTGATTTTTTCTATGATTAGTAGTGATTTAAGTACTTAGTGAATGCTTGAGGAGTTAAAAGAAAATTTCTGATTAAATGTGCATATAATTTACAAGGTATATTTTTAATTATTCAGTTTTATATGTATATGGATTTTAAATGTAATAAAATTGATTACAATTAATTATTAATTTAAAATTAATGAATGGTTAATTACAACATACGCTATGCGCACATTTTCAAAGTTGTAAAAATGTCGTTCGTGCGTTGACTACTGACAAGGTTTGCTGAAGGTTGGAGTCTATGCTTACGTATTTTGGAATGGTATAGATAAAGATATCGAAAATACTTCCAAAAACTGTTCTGAATGGGCAAAACATAAAATAGATCCTCCTTAAGTAAAATTTCATCATTGGGAGTACCCAAGCGCTCCAATGAAATATATTCACATTGATTATGCAGGACCTATTTTTGAGTATATGTTTTTGATAATCGCTGATGCTCACTCAAAATGCCTAGAAGCCTATCCAATGAAATCAAGCTCGACTTTAAAAGCAATAGAATGTTTATGGGACTTTTTTGCACAATTCGGATTACCAATACTGTTAGTGAGTGATAACGGGCGCACTTCACTTCACATGAGTTTAAGATATTTCTACAGAGTAATGGAATCAAACACAAAACTACAGCACCATTTAAACCATCTAGTAATGGGCAGGCTGAACGGTATGTGTTTACAGTAAAACAATCTTTAAGAAAAATGCAAAATTATCCAGGAACATTGAGACAAAAACTCAATACATTTTTGATGCAGGATAGGAAAGCTCCGAATTTAACTACTCTGCAGAGCTCTGCAATGCTAATGCTGAAGAGGGAAATTCAAACAAGAATAGATTTATTGAGACCAGATCTCAAAAGGAGGGTGGAAGACAGAATTCGAAAAGGAACCTACAAGTTTGCAGACTGAGGATTCAGAGTAGAAGATAGAGTGGCAGTAAGAAATTATCGCCAAGGTGATATACAATGGAGATTTGGTACTGTCCAATCCAAGGATGTACAGCTTCATTACACCATAAATGTAGATGGTCAGCTGTGGTGACAACATATCGATCAGATGCATGATGGAGGAACCGTAACAGGTGAGGGGTTCATACGTCCACCTCCAGCTCTTGTGATTTCCAAAGAGCCTGATAAGAGTGGAGTTCCAGAACCATCAGAAGATAATAGCCACCATGCAGATGAGTCTGTCGTCCTCCGAGTCCAAGGTTGTACGAGATGTTCCATCCACCGGAGCTGTTGCTGATAAAACCAGGTTACCAAAAAAACCTGCAGTGCCACAACCTTTGTGTCGGTCCAGTAGAATTCAACGTCCCCCAGATAGACTGCAGTTATGATAAGGGGAGGGATGTGGTAAATCGAGAACCATCGATGTGTATATCATAATCGGACTTTAAGATGGCACCGTGCCAAGCATCGAAGCGCAGGGAATAATTAGAAAAAGACTGGAATGCGAGTAGCTGTAATTATAAAATAACTGTAGATATAAGTGTGTAAGCGAGTGATGATATGTTTGTATATATAATAAAGATAGCATGTAGTTTCAACATGTGTATCTTCTGATAAACCCACTAAAGGATACACGAGAAAAATCATACTATGCAGAGCTAATAATTAGAACGCCCATTGTTTGACATTCCAGAATTGTAACAAAGCCATAAACAGTTATTAAAATTTGTGGAAATACCGGTACTATGTATAATTGTTAGAAGTTTGTCATAAATGAAAAATATACTGATTAATATAAATCTTCTGAACATAGATTTATTTACTTGGAGAGTAAGAGCCAATGCATTAGACATATTCATACTTGAGACATCTTCTAGACTACTATATCAAGAATATTAAGATTGATTAGCCATTTTATTCCAGTTAACAAGTTATCTCTTAACATTAGTTTTAAGTTATCTCTAGAGTTGAGTGCTACGTATCATATTAGTGTCATTCCAATGAACTGCAAGCTTGCACAGCTTAATAAGTCTTTTGTTTCTTCTGTTTTCAAACACATCGTGTCATTTCTAGGATCACTTAAGATTCCAGTTCTTGATAGAGATCAGTGATACTACCCCGTAATTCTGTGCTTCTGTGTGCCTTTGTCTTATTGTATAATTGCGATGGTTAGATTTGCATACTGCAAGAACAGTACAAAGTTTTACTTTTTTTGATTGCACACTTATAGTTATACTTGGTAGTGGTATTTTGGCCCAAGAAGCATTTTTTTAGTCGTTTCCTAATTTATTGATGATGAAGCTAAGCACCTCTAAAAAGACACACATATGGAAGAAGAATCTTGTTATAATAACGGGTCCCGTTGACTGAACCTGCGTTGAAGATGTGAAGGTCTTTTACGACTACCAAGCATGATGCCTCTCCAAACGAGAACACCGCCACCTCCATACCCTTCCCTTTCAATGATGTTCGAGGGATGATTGCGGCTTCCCGCTCTCTCCAGATGAGTATGCGATGAGAATCGCTACTCAGACTGAATCTGCTCTCATCTGTAAAGAGTACTCGTCCCCATTCATTGTCTCTCCAATTCCGGTGTTCCCGGCACCACAGAGAACGCCTTCTCCGATGGGCAGGCGTTAGAGGTACACACCGTACAGGGCGTCGTGCAAACAGACCACCACCGTGCAGTCTTCTGGCCACGGTAAAACGCGATATCGGTCGTCCAGTCGCCTGTGTCGTGTGTCTAGCGATTTCTCCCGCTGTCTGCCGCCTGTTTCTTCTGGCCTGTAAGGCAATATACCGGTCATCTGCGGGTGTGGTTCCTCGTGGACGACCACTACTAAACCCCGGATAGCTGTTCCTGTAGTTTGAAATTGTCTCCAAAGTCGTGAAACGATGCTGTGAGCAATTCCAAACTCTGCAGCCACACTTGTCACACTGCGGCCTTCCTCCAACTTCCCAATGATTCGACCTCGGGTAAAAGCATCCAGATGTCGTCTAACAGATTGATTATTCGCCATTTCTCGCTGAGGCAGCAACTCGGTGTGATTTTAACTGCTATACGGCGTGCAATCTCTTTGCCAGAAATACTGATCTTACACCGACAACATGCTTTATACTACTCAGACACTCCCCCATTACGTCTACCTGCATATCTGCGCATGTGCTACCGTACATCACCTTACTTAATCTCCTGATTGGTCTTTCTGTCCGCTCTGCCTCTTCGTTCAGCTGATATGCTAATTTTTCGACTTCATCCTTAATTTTGCACACCAGTGTATGTTTTAACTGATAAAAATGTTTCATTAACTGAGTTGTGTAAAGAAGAATTTAAAAACTTTTGAAATCTGTCCCAAAGTGTGTCTAAGATTGTAGTGGCATGGAAAGATGGACGAGAATGTTATTATTTAGGTAATATAAATAATAACATACTCGTCCATCATTAATTTTATCTTAATGCAAAACTGACTTTCATATTTAATGCTTTTTTAAGAGCATTCACACAAAATTTTCTCATTTTTTTCTGCATAAAAATTACTTTTATTTCTGTATGTTGTAGCTGTTTTCTCCTAACAATGACTGAAGACAGTATAGAAGGCATTTATGATACTTTAAAACGTTGTGCATTAATTTCAAAATCTGCTGGAGGAATTGGATTAAATGTGCATTGTATTAGGGCTACAGGGAGTTATATTGCTGGGGTAAGTATTAATTCAATTTGTATTCAGTTTTCCGTAAATTTACACATGACAAAATGTGTATCTAATCATCAAAATTTGTAAGACCTGATTCAATACAATAAAAATATTTAAGGGAAGTAAATCATAGTTATGTAGAAAATTGGTGAATTTAAAATATCTGATCTAAACATAGCCAGTAACTATCTAACTAAACATAGCCAGTATTTAAACACATCATTTACAATAGCAATAAAATGTCTTAAACTAATAGAAATTCTTGAAAGCTAATCCCATATTTTTAATTTTGTACTAAGTAATTTGGTTCTAAAATAATCGGTGTTTAAAAAACAAGGAGCAGATTTAACTTGTGTGCAAAATTATTTCTCACAATACAAAAATGGTTCAGAGAATGTATTGTGTTAGATATTCAAGATCTTCATCTTCCATAAACTGGAAGTCAAAATTCTGGAGAAACATTCATAAAATGCCTTGCATGGCAATTTTTCATTTTTTATTTATAAAGTGATGTATGACAGATTTTTTTTTCTGTTTTAAAGAAAAAGCATTTTTAAACAATTAAAATTTGCTTTATTTTGGCCAAATTGTTACGACTGCAGAATACTGCGAGTTCAATCAAGGTTTAAACCCAAGCAAATCGACTGACTGTATGATTGCTTTTAATGGTTTTCCCCTACCTGTAACTAGGATATGAACTAGTGTTCCTCAGAAAATCCTCCATGAAGGCATCTCTTCACTTAGCTAGATAGCCTTCGTATGTTCAAATAACTTAACCTAATTTCTTTATTTTGAAATGCCCTGCATGTTACTTAATAAGTTAGTTCATGAAATTTACAGGATCAAGCATTAAGAACTGACAGTTCATAACATTCTTGACAAAATTCATGAATTCCTGAAGCATATTTTTCTCATCTTATTTAACTTGCACTTTGGAAATGTATGTTTGTAAATTTTATGTTGTATATTCACTAAATTAAAAATATAATTTATAGAATAATTAACATAATTATAACTGTGATTATTTTTTCGGGATTTATATGCTTGTTAATTATTTTTTTATACATGTTAAGATTTCAGATTTTCCTAACTGTATTTCTAAAAAAATTTTCTGAAAGAAAAATTAAGCTTTCTGCTGCCTGAAATTTAGGCAGCATATTTTTCTAGATAGAAAAAATATATACACACACTCTTTACAGGCTTAAAGTGTCAATCTTATATTCTCTCTCTCCGTATCTTTTTTTTTTCCCCCAAAAAGCCATTTTTTATATATCATGAATATATTTCATTACGGCCTTCTTCTTCTTTACCGTCCTCATTTTTTTTAGCATCGTCTCTCCCGCCATCGAGCGACCTCTTAAGTGGTGAACTTCTCGGCCAAGGGGATTTCTAAATTTTAAAAATTTTAAGAAGTCCAAAATCTGGAATGATCTAATTTCCAAACCACCAGCAAGTTCCCCCCCCCCTCTTTTCCTTTCTTTCAAAATTTAGGTGAGGGAAATACAATACTCTGTAAAGGTATGTTTTAAAAGCAAGTCTTATCCCAGCTAACCAAGATTCCTGTACGTCTCTTTCACATACCTGTGCGCTAGTTAATCAAACCTTATCCAATGACAACAATACTTTGATTAATGTTATTTATGGACCTCAGTTTTGGACCTTGAGTGGTTGGTTGTAAAATGGTAGTTTATATTTTTCTATCTGCCCTAAGCAATAATTGAAGCTCTAAGACAATTGTTTGCAGTGGCATGTTGCTAATACAGGTTTTCTTGTGTTGGAAAAAAAGCAGGAAGAGAGGAAAAAGTAGATTTGGAAGAAATTAAGTTCAGTTAATGTAGTGAATTACACTCTTCCTTAACTAATTGGTGCAACTTATTATTTTTTGCAGGCTATTATTACAACTATCTTATCAAAATTAAAATTTGAATTTTTGATTATGTCGAAAAGACTTTTCTAATTTTGGGGCTGTAGCAGGATCTGCAAGGTAAAAGTGTATTTGGTACTTGCCCTTCTATAACTGCCTTAATGTGAGAGAACCCAGTTCAGGCGTACATGTCATTTCAAAATTAGGCAAAACAGCAACCTTATTTTGCCATAGATTTTGAGCACTTTAGAAGGTAAAATTTTTCCAGTTAATGAAATTTCTGAAGAAATGTGGAGGACTGATAATAAATGAAGATGCTATAACAGAAGGTTTCTTTTGCTATGGGCCCATCAGCAGCTGAGAAATAAAGTCGCTAAATACTAGTAATTTGACCGAAAATCGAATCCCGCAAGTGAACTGGCCGCATGGTTGGTTTCCATGGTTTTCTCGTGCTTAACATAGATATGAGAAAGTTTCTATAGCAAGTCCTTCATGAAGATATCCCTCTCTATAGGCAGATAGCCCTGAAAGTTGCTTTGTCTTACTCATTTAACTTAACCTAATCCTTTCCATTGCTTTGATAGTGCTTCAGTCAGCAATAATCTAATGGATGGGAAAATCTGTAATATGGTTTTAAATCCAGTTTCACTACTGATAGTTCCGAAAGTGACGAAGCGATTTTTGAGAATCAAAAGATTTTGATTCACAGTTTTGGGTCAATTTTTGACCCAGCAGTTATAGCACTTGAATGATATAACTTTGTAACTAAGCAAGTAATTATGTCTATCTATAAAATTAAAGAGAAAGTATTAGCACAATAATAAAAAAAACTTACAGTGAAAGAAATATTTAATAAAACAAGCAAATAAATATTTAGCTTTTTTGTAAATTTCAATTTCTTTAAGATCATTCTTGCTTCATTCTTTCATAAATAAGTATTTCAATTACTAAATTTTAACTGACGATCTAAAATCTGGAAACCATGAAGTTCTCTCACTTTGTACTGTAAATACAGTAACAAAATCTCAATGTCCAGTATCCAGAATGCTCCAAAATATGAACCTTCTGTCTGCCAGCAACTTTTTTATTTTATACATGTTATTTAATGTTGAAGCTGAACCTCCTGAGTGCCAGCAAATCACCTTCCCCTTTTTTGTATGCATGGAAGCTTTTTAATGTTGACATTATGCTTGGCAATGTACAGGCTCCAGCTAATAATGGTGCAAAGTATTGAGGGTGTTGACAAGGAGAAATGTAACAGAAATTTCATTCCATATGCAAAAAAATAAATTTTCTGATAGGCGAAAAGATTACATTTTGTATTATTTGACATGACAGAAATTGATTTTAATTTAGAAGTCAAACAACAGTGTGAAAATTTGCAAATATAATGCTGATTTTTGTTTTTTGACTTCTAAATTAATATTTGTTTGGCATGTTACTTTTACCTAAAATAACTGATTTGTTGCCCAGATAAGCCCAAGACTGGTGCCCGAGCTGATGCGGCCCCATCCAGCAAAAGAATTTAAGGGAGGAAAAATTTAAGATTTTCTTTTTAAAAATTGAAGGGTGGCTAAATCTTTAAAATTTAGAGAAGGTACTAAGACATCTCAGTATTAGAATTTACAGAGAGTACACTTCAAAATGTCCAGTTCCTGCCCTTCATAAGCCTTAAGTGTATGGGAGTTTATTTATTCAAAGTTAAAATAAGCTTTAAACATGTGAGTGTACTCATTCCAATTACAGGGTTTCAAAAAGAATCCTTTATTGTTATTTTTTGTCACTACCTCCTTGTTCTGGGAGTGGGTAATTTGCACGCCTGCTGCCTTCCTTGGATGTGGTAGCCATTTCTCAAGCTCCCTCTCCAGAATCAAACCCTGATTCCCCATTATGACCATGGTAAGCACATAACCTACCTTCGACAGTTGATAAGGCAAACACTTGAAAGATACGTCGCGGGACAAACCCATGCGATCAGCCCAAAGTTATACAGAGTCACCACATGATACGAACACGAGGTCCGATTGTTTTTGGTTTAATAAAAACGCTCGTCCCCAGAGGGTCGGAGCTCTGCTGTATGTATTATCTCTAGAATTGCCACAGTTATCCAAGTAGTAAGGTATGATCCAAAGAACCATAACAGATTTAATGAGCCATTCACAGTTTCATTTTAGTATGGCATATACTTAATCTTTGAGACAAACATATGACTACTGGCAGGATTAACCAGGTAACCTTTTTACGTTCATAGAATGTTCGAGCTTCAAGCAACTCTAATCCACCATTTCATAACGTACACCTTGGAAATGCGCTGGGAGCCGCTGCCCATGCAGCTCCCTCTTATTTCATACGCGCGGATTTATTATTATCTGGTTCTTTCGGTAGTGGTTCGAAACTCGCTACATCCTCCATGATAATGGGATCCAGGAGGTGAACCGTTGTGGTCATCGAGAGGCTTAAAGTCATCAGCATGCAATAGAATGGTGAATCTACTTCAAAGAAATTATGTGTTCAAAGAGAAAACCCTTGGATGTGTACACCAGCAAATAGCAGCAATTGAGTTTGTGCTAACGGAAAAGACAAAAACGATATAATTGCATATTAAAGTGAAGAGCGACTAGTTTTCACAATATGGTTGTATAAATTTAAATTATGTCACAGAACATCATATTGTATCATAAACGGAGCATCCCATTATTTTTCAGCCAAATTAGTTGAATATTCAGGAATTTATCCAGTGATGTATATAGATATCATCTAAACACGTTTTCCCTCTTGATGAAACCAGTCTTTCCTTTCATCTCATGCCTTCAAAATGCCTAGTCTCTAAAGACTGATAAAGGCTCTGACCAAATACTGAGGAAATGGATTGGATTGAATTGGATTTTTAAGTTATGACAAAGCAGGGCTATCTGCCTAGAAGGAGAGATGCCTTCGTGAAGAATTTTCCAAGGGAAACCAGCTCGTATACACGTTACACATGAGAAAAACCACAAGACAAATGCCCCTGCAACCAGCCCGTTCCCCAGGATTCGAGTTCCAAAGCGAACTACCAGTGTTCAGCAACTTTACTATTCAACCATTTGTGGGCCCTTTTGAAATGGAAGGCGATAACTTTATTTAAAATTAATGTCAGAAATAC